GGCGGTATTTGTCTCTCTCCCCCGCCCGCGGAGCAGCGGGCGGCCGGTGCCCCGGGGTGCTCGGCTGCCCGCCCGCCCTCACAGCCGCGCTTCTCTTCCAGCCTGTATCTGCGAGAAGAACAAGCGCGTCTCCAACTGCAGGCTGGTGGACGGCGTCTGCTGGTGCGACTCGGTTGGCTCCGGCGTGTCTGTGAACTGCAACACCCGTGAGTAAAGCACGCGTGTCGGCCGCGGCTTGGCCTGGGCGCGTTCTCTGGTACGGGGCGGTGAGGAGAAGTGCCAGCTAAACGCAAGGGAATACGCGAAGATGAGCATGGAGTTCCCGGCAAATCACGGTAGTAAGGAAGGAGAGCTGCTTCCTGGTCTTCCAGATCAACTGGCAATGGAAGATAAGCGTTTGGGATTCCTCCTGCGTAACTAGTGTGGGCGTGCGTACGCTTATCCTGACGCAGGCTCCCCCAGCCTCCTTAATATTCAGCCTCTAACGGCAAGAGTTTCTCAAAGATTAATTTTTAGCTTCCTTCAACGCACGTATCGTGACCTCTACAAATCTAGAGGTCAGAGAGCCTTGTCTCAGGACCTTACTCTTGGTTCGAGCTCAGCTAAGCTGTAAATGATCCTCTGGCTGAAGGAAATTGAAGGTGGCTGGACCTCTTAGGCGTTTGGCTTCAGAAGCTGATGTACCGCAGTTGTGTTGACTTTCCGCACCACCTACGTGTTAGGCACCCGATCTTCCTTGTAATGGCTCCAAATCGAGTTGCTTCTGACGTAACCTTGTGCTTTTGCAGACTAAGAGCTCTGTTTTAAACGTGCTGCATAATGTGACTTTCTGGTTATTTTTAGTGACCTCAAAATGCCTGTTGATGAAAGCAGAAATGACAGGCTCAAAATCAGGTCGTCGTGAGAAACCAAAAGATGCATTTGAAGATACTGATGGCCTTTATGATCCAGAGTGTGAAAATACTGGTGTTTTCAAGGCGAAGCAGTGCAATGGAACCACCTGTTGGTGTGTGAATACAGCTGGTGTTAGAAGAACTGACAAACATGATGCAGACTTGAAGTGCAATCAATTAGTCAGAACGACGTAAGTCTTCCAACAGGGTGTGCTGTGACACGAAAACATTCCTGTATTAGGTTTTGTGCTGTAGAGGATTTATTTGTATGAATGATGGGCTGGGGATGAATGAAGATGGAGTAATAAACACTTGATTACCACTTTTTTTTTTTCTTCAGAAACAAGGAGACATTGAAGTGTTTTTGAGGGGGCTTGCTTTGTTTTCCTCTCACTGCTCTGTTGTTTTCCCTGGGGTTAGGTTTTTAGTATGTGGTGTTACATGCACATGCTTTGAATATTCATTGTATTTACTTATTACTTCAGGTGGATCATCATTGAAATGAAACATGCTGAGAGAAACACTCCTCTGAACGCTGAATCTTTAAAGAAGTAAGTGGTGATAGTAAGATGTCATGGCAATCTCTGTATGTGCTACTAGATATGTAGCGTATTTCTAAACAATTGTTTAAAAGCATTGTCAAATCTGTGAACTCTTTCTAAGGCACCTTAGAAGTGACCTACAGATCCTTCATAGAATTGCTTTGATTTTTATTGGAAATAAATTAAGAGCTAACGAGATTCACTTCCATTTAAAACTGATAGCTACTTTTTTTTTTATCAAGTCAATATACTGAAGGAAATGGAAGGTAATAAGGTGAAACTGCCCAAAAAGTAAACTGACAAAGATGGCATAGGGACTGCAGCAGCAGAAAAACAACAGTTTAGCTACTTCTTGGCTAAAATAAAATCCTACTTCTCTGTCAGAGATCATACAGCAAGAAAAATGGGCTTGTAGCTATTAGACACTACCCCGCACCTCCGAATAAAAGCTACTAGTCTCTAGCTTCTCTTCTAAACTCTCAAAACTGTTCAACTCTTCTCTCTAACGCTTCAGTTATGTATGTGTTTATTTTTCAGTAAGTGCATCTTCACTGTTAGGAATTAACAGAGCTCTAGTATAATAATGAGAGCGTACTGGGTTTGGTTGGGATGGAGTTAATTTTCTCCAGCGGTTGGTATGGTACTATGGTTTAGACTGGTGACCAAAACAGTGTTGATAAGTCACGAATGTTTTAGCTGTTGCTGAACAGGGCTTACATGGTGTCGAGGCCTTCTCAGATTCTCACTCTGCTGCCCCAATGAGTAGGTTGGGGGTGGGGAAGAGGTTGGGAAGGGACACAGCAGAGATGGCTGACCCGAATTGACCAAAGAGATATCCCATATTGTATAATGTCATGCTCAGCAATAAATCTGGGGGGAAGTTTTTCCCAAGTTGCCATTGCTCGGAGATACGTTGGGCATCCATCTGCTAGTGGTGAGTGATTGCTTTTGCGTCACTTAGGGGTTTTTTATTTTCCCCAGCCAATCCTTTCACTTACTAGACTGTCTTTATCTTGACCCATGAGGGTTTTTTTTCTTGCTTTTACCCTTCTGATTATCTTTCCAGTCCTGGTAGGGGGAAGTGAGTGAGAGACTAGGTGAGGGTTTAGCTGCCAGCTGGGATCAACTCACCACAGAGAGACTGCAGGAAAAAAGAACAATTCTACTAGTCTTCCCTGCTTCTGAAAATAGATGTGTAAAATAATACTGTTTTTAACAGCTATGGCTTTAATATCCTTACAGGTTCTTCAAGGATGTAATTACCAGTCGTTACATGCTGGATGGACGCTATATAAGTAGCGTTCTGGTAAGAGACACATAATTTTTAGTAAAGTATCAGAATTTTATTTTGTTGTGAATAACTTTGAAAACTCTTGTCTGACTAATGCAGTACAGCATGAGTCTTATTAGAAGCTCTCAAAATAGTGACACTTATTGAGCAGCTAGCAAATAGCTGTATCTGAACTGAAATAATGAGAAATTACATATTCCTCCCCTCAGTCTGTAGATGAATTCTTACTTTGCTTCAGTAAAAAAGTGGAGTTTGAATCGTACTGTAAACAGTTGGCTTGAGAACAAGTACCATAAACTTGATTCAGGATGTGCGGTTACAAGTTGGATCGTAATATTTTGCTGTGTATTTGATAGTTGGATTTAAACTAGCCCCTTCTTAATACCACACTATATTCTTTTGCAGTATGAAAAACCTTACATTACTATTGATTTGAAGCAAAATTCCACAGACAAATCTCCTGGAGATGTGGATATAGCTGATGTGGCCTACTACTTTGAAAAAGATGTAAGTGTGTAAAGGGCAAAGTCTGTCAAAGATGAGATGTGTATGTTGTGTTGCGTTTAGTAGTCTTACTGTGTGCTGGCTAAAGCAAGATGAGTTATTTCCTATCTGTTCTTAGGTGAAACGTGACTCCATCTTTCATAATAACGAACTAAACATCAGCATTGGTAATGAAGCGCTGAGTTTTGAGAAGACAGTGGTCTACTATGTTGATGAAATACCACCAGAGTTTTCCATGAAGTCTCTGACTCCTGGCCTCATTGCTGTTATTGTAGTAGTGATAGTAGCAATAGTTGCTGCAATTGTTGTTCTGGTAAGTTCGAACAAAGCTGCCAAGCAGAACAGGTAACAGCATATTTTGGGAAATAACGTACCAGGGTAATTGGACTCTGACAGAAACGGTCTTCCGCTGTAAACTGGCTTCTTTTTTGAGACTTGGGAGGTGGGAAAGAGGTGATGGACGTACCGTCACTGTTTCAGGTTACAACTGAAGGGCGTTGTGTGGAAAACAAAAGTATTAGGAAAAACTCACTGAGGTGAAGAAAGTATCTGCCTTGTCTCCTGGCTTAAAGTAGTTGGGATTGACAGGCAGCCTCTCATGTACCTCGCTTTGGAAGGATGGGGAAGGGACAGCTTCAAGTTTGGACTTTTAAAGTCACAACCAAATTAAGTCTTGACTTAGACATAACTTTAACTTTACAATTATTGTGTCCTCTTACAGGTCCTCACGAGGAGGAGGAAAGGGAAGTACGTGAAAGCAGAGGTAATTAATTTCTGTTTATGGTATATGGGCGGGGAGGAGGTGGGCCAGAATCCAGAAACTCCTAAGTTTGCTGTAGGTTAAAAGCTTGCTTTGGGTGCTTCAGATGTGTTCAAGGAGACTGAATATTCAAATTCTGTAACTAGTTTTCATCTCTACATAGTTCACCTGGTTCGTACTGCACTAGTTTCAAAGGCAACTGCATTTGCCTGCAATGATCTGCTGCATTTCCCAGGGGTGGGGGGCAGTGCTGACAGCAAGTACTAATTTTACATATCTATAGCAAGGGCTGTACAGCCTCCAGGAAATACCAATAGTCTTGTTCTGTCATGAAGACCTTTGCTTGAGGTATTTGCATGGAGCTTGCAGTTTCTATTGAAGAGCTACTTTCTGATGGAATTGTAACAAATGGTACTAGTGCATGGTGCTTCACCGCAAGCGCAGAGCCTTTTGTAAAGGCATCTGGAGGGTGTTGTAGCTAAATAGTAAAGTCTGCTCCCTGCACACACCCCAAAGAGTGCTGTGTTGTTTTTGGTTTGTTTTTTTTTTTTTTTAATAATAAACCTGAAGTGTTACAGTGGTCTTGGCACATTCTGTTCTGGTAGTGTTACATAAAATCCCTTTGCTAATGAAAATCTGGGTTGTTAAGTCCTATTGACTTCTTGGGTCTCCTGTTCAGAAGTGGCACAAATGTTCATGTCCCTCTACCTCCTCTCCAGGTAAAGGAAATGAATGAAATGCATAGAGGGCTGAACGCGTAATTAAATCAGCTGAAGACACAGTAAGATTCAAACAAGAAGACAAAAGAAACATTGGAGGCATGGATCTTAACTCTTA